AGAGGGGCTCCGTAATATATATATGTTATAAGATTAAAAAAAAAATTTCTGTCTGTCAATATTCTCCATCCAGAACTCCTCATGTGGAAATATTTTAGTATCACCTGGTTTATTTAGACATCACCTGAAGCACTGAAGGTCCAGCTGCTTCACCTACAAGCTGCCCTGCATCATTATTACTGGATATCTGTGTTTCCTATAATCATATAATGTATAAGTGCATTTATAATAGTAAAGGATTAAATGTAACACAACCTTTTATCATTGTCCTATATTGCTTACTGTCTGACTGTTTAAATAGCTCCTTATGTCTATTTTCTTTTTTAGTGGCATCACCTACAAACACAACACTGAGAAATAGCCTAAGTTTATTCAAATATAAAATCACTTTTTACAATTATAAAAGACAATATAACACTATCTTATCTATAATTTAATACTATCCAAAATAAACAGCCAGATTCAAACATTTTTACCAGAAATTAATGTTTGTACTAATTTACTTATAGACTGTGTGGAAATCTATGTAAGATAAAATCAATGTTGATATTGTTTCTCTGTTTGTTCTTGTCTTTATCCTATTTCTAGAAGTATAAATAGTCAATTAAATTACTATTATTATGTGGAACCCTAATTATGCTTTTAAAACGAAAAACAGCAGATGTTTAGACGCCATTTCTTGTTGTTATACTCTATAAGAGAAATAACACCTGCTAATAATTATACCTGAACTTTCTCAAAGAGTCATCAAAAAATGAAAACAGTAATACTAAATATCGGTAAAAAGGAAACCCTCACATTTTCTTTTTTAGTTGGCTGTGGCTAAGAATCAGAAATGTTGATGGCTTACAGCCTTTATTTGCCCATTTTTCCAGGAGTCTTCAGAACTCCTGGCTGACTCAGAATATTTTGTTTTATAAAAGAACCGACAATTAGGTCGGTTCAAAATTTTGGTAGGGACATGTCCCTATGGTCCATATGTAAACCTACGCCCATGCTCAGACTGTCAGGATTCCAAGCTCTATGCCCTAACCATTAGGCCGCTGTTGCCTCCAACTGTGGAAATGTCACTATGTCACTACTGTCACTCTTTGATGGCATAAAGAGGCTTTAAAATGTGGAAACATCTACATGTTGTCTGATGTCAGTTTGCTGTCGGTGCTGAACATGCACCCCTAGATTTCATGAGAATATTACAGGGAAAAAAGCTCCATAGAGTATAAAAGCTGCAGATATAAGCATAACTGAGCCTTTAGACCCAATTTACAGACTACTACATTTTATGATTATTTAACTTTGGCCTATAGAATCCTTTTTAAGTTATTCCTTACATAAAAAAAAATGTTTTTATGTATAAAATAATTTTAATGAGCCTGAATGATGCCTATCCATTTCAAGGAAATGTTAATAATTTTCCCCCCCAAACACAATGTGCAGTAAGGTGAAAGTAAATCCATTTTAAATATAAACTGTGCAAGCAGAAGTCAGATAGAGGTGTTTTATCAATGTTTCCATGCAGCCTTTTGTTTGTTAGGATTTTATTTAAATCAGAAGTGACCTGGGAATGTTGATCCTCTGTATATAACTGCCAAGGATATGCAAGCTGAGTAATCTAATCATTAATGGATTCTATCTTAATTCCCAGTATTAGATATAAAACACTTATTTAGTTTTATTATTTGTCGCTGTTTTGATCAAAGCCAAAGTGAAGCTGCTGTTTAATCTTTAAGTCACCAACTGAACCTATGACGAAGGCATTTTATGGTTGTCAGCCACCCTTAAAATCAAGTCATGATGATTAAATAACTTTTGCTTAAATGATTCCTAGAAACATGTGCCTACAGCTCGGAGCCTGTATCATCAATTTTCAGACTATTTTCAGCTGCGGATTAATGCACATTTGGAAAAATGAAAACAGATTTACAGCAGGAGACTGCATGCTTTGTTAAGTTGGTTTAAACTAGTGTGTCGAATGAATACATTAAGTGACATGGTTTTGTTACCGAATAATAGCTAAGATGTACAGTTTTAGACTCAAAATTATGGAATTTTATCTATTTTCTAAGGATACTCTTGTCAAGTAGTCATCATTAGGCCTTTATAGATGCAGCAAATCTAGCAAACTAAAACAAGGACGTTTGAAACTCACAGCTACGTTGTTGTCGAAGCATTTGACGGGTCCTTTTCGATACCGTGCTGCCGTCATTTCTTCACAGGGATTTTCCTCCTTGACTGATTTAATACTCAATTAAGGAACATAAAAAAAAATCTAACATTAAAGAACCCGACAGCTACAAAAGAGGGGTGATACTGTGTGATTTTAGCGACTGGTGGGTAGAATGTGAAAAGGATACATTCCTCCTTGTCCTGGGAAAGATCTTCTATCTCGCAGGTGCTGCATGGCAGCTTTTCTGCTACCACAAACAGCAAGTTGGTATTGTTTATCCTCTTGGCATGAATCAGCCTGCAGTAAAAAAAACAACAAAAAAAAAAAAGACAGCTTTGTCGACAACCTCCCTTTGCTTGCTTGCTTCTCACACTCATTTGCTAATGGATCAGCAAGATTTATGAGACAACTCTACAAGGCTCATTTAGCCAATAATGTGATCATTTTAATAAAAACACAATCTGCAGTGTTGCTTGCTATCTATACCTCTTTCACTAATTGAATATGATTTGAGTGAGAGGACATATGTATGACCTGGAACAGTTGCCACAGTCTTGGAGGATGTTGTATGAGCTGCTGAGGTTACTGAAGTAGTACTGGGTTTGGATCATCACACAACTCCTCTCTTTTGACTCTATTCCTTCTGCATCTGCCTCGTCTGATGTATAGACAGAACACAGAGAAATATTAACAACACGCGCTGCACTGGTCCATTTACATCAAATGTAAAATCTTTGCTTTTACCCACCTATGACAAACCAGCTATGATAAGCCAAACCATATATAAGCTGTTGGAACAAGGACCTGCAGTGATAAGAGATGTGATTAAAACCACAAATTTCCAATAACAGATTAGAAGAAAATTATAGGGATTATACCCTTAAAAATGAATCTAGCAATAAAATCAAAAACACAACCAGGTTGCAGACAGAAAATAATTCCCCCTAACAAGAGGCAACATTTATGAGAGCTAGAGGAAATAGAATATATTCTGCAACATTTTTATAGAGGTCACTGAAGTAGTTTTAACATTTCAATTCAGAGGTAGGCCTATTGCTCTGTTTCAGAACTTCGCTGTATTGCTGAGCGACTAGGGTCGTTTTTTGGGCACAGCACTTGACTGGTTTGAGTGTTGCTGGAAGGACAGGGACTCTTTGATGTCAGTAGGTCACTGCATATTAGTCACCACACAAACAGTTCCCTAAGGGTCAGTCTTTGGGGTTCCCCTATTCAATACCTACAGTACATGCTTCCCCTACCTCAAATAAGAAAGAACTGGAGTTCTATCTAAGCAGATGGCACACAGCTCTCTTAAGGTTGACCATATGATTTCAATTCTAACATCCTTATAGGGGTAAATGTATGTCAAAGTATCAATTTTAAAATATTTTTCTTATTTAGTTTTAATCAGTGCATTGCTGAGGATTAAAATTCATTAAAGACTTGTAATAATAACCAGGGCACTCAGTCTCATGTCTACACTGTATACTCAGAACCAAATATTGAGAAGCTGCATATAGTTCTTAGACTCCGTTTATCTTTTGCTTTGTACCTTAACTGGATAAGTATTATATTTTTATGCAAATAAAGCTGGTGGTCTATGAAAAAAAAATATCTGTAAAATGGATAAAAAACAAGACAAATGCAGAAAACTGATTTTTCTCATTTGTTTCTTCTCTGTCTTTACGTTACTTTGACCATTAAAATAATTGCAGAAATATTTCCATTAAATCCTAACCCAGTCTGTGTAACCAATATGGTATTGAGGTATTTCTGATCTTACCATGCAGCAGCTGACGTCCACCATGCCACGTTGACAAAATCTGCAATCGTGGGCTGCAGAAACACAGGAAAGAAAATATAATTTATCTCTTTCTTCATAAGACAGATTTATAATTACCTTCTTATATTTTTCTCTTTCCTAAACTACTATTTATATTCTTATTTGACATGAGCAGCAAGAAAACAAATGAAGAAGTGACTGTTTTCTGACCTCTCAATTGCTTCTTTCTGAATAAATAGATGCTTTTTTTTTACTGGAAAGAACAAAACATTTTCCAAAACAATGAAAAGTGTTTTTTTATTTTATGTTTTTTTTTTCCTCTGACAGAAAATGGAATGATAAGAAAATGACTCCTATACTAAGACCTCAGTATAGGAGTCTCAGTTTCCACCTGAATCCCTTATAGTCACCTCCTACTAGTTAAGAATTTTAGAACAACCACAGCTGCAAAAAGTTTCTACACATGTAAAATGTATGTAAAAATTATTTGCCAAGTAAAACAATGAAAAAAAACAATAAGAAGAACCAGCCAGCGAAAGAAAACATTATTGAGCAATAAAACAGAAGTAAAAACAGAAAATTTAAGTCTGGCATAACCAATGAATAAAATGTTTTCCTGGAGGAGATTTAAAAGTGGAGAGTAAACTACTCCATCTGATATGCAATGAGGGATTATTCCATAGCCTCGCAGCAGTAACCCTAAAGGCTCTTTCCCATCTGAGTTTCCATTTAGATCTTAGTACCACCATAAAACAGCTGATCGGGTGACCTGAGGCATCCAGCAGGAGAATAAAGGTAAGGAAGCTCAGAAAAAGTAGAAAAAGAAGAGATTAAATCTAAAACGCGAAGGCAGCCAGAGGAGGGAAGTTAGAGTAGTGGTGGAGGCTCCATCTTACCGACTTCAGCTCAAAGACTAAAGGCTGCATTTTCAGAGAATTTCAGATGTTTCAGGAAGGACTTAATTCAAAGGAGTAAAATATAGTATTGACACCTAGTGTTTCAAATTGGAAGAACAAATAAAAGAGCTAGTCCCCCTTCTCAGATGATTAAAGGTGTACAAGCCAAGAGAGATGAGGACGTAGCGCAACTAAAATCAAGATGGCAACTGGAAAAATGTAGCCACAGTAAGTTGTTGAGCAAATGCTTTTAAAAGAAGCTGAAGCTTTTTAGATACTTTTGAGACCGTTTCTGGTCTGCTGCTTTAGCTGGCTTCCATGCTTTTTCCAACATAAAACACAAATGCTGAGCTTGGTTTTGTCAACACTTGGAACTCTTAATATAATTCGAACCAGGAACCTTAAGGTAAAAACTGCAGCAAAGTATTTGCAGACTGTAGCTCCTTTTTTAAAAGGAGAAAAACTCGATCAAGATGATGTTGTTGGAGAGGACCAATTGTAGGTAATGTTACTCTCATCTCGGGTGACTAATGAGAATAATTAAGGTTTATTTTGCTTTCAATTTCTTACTTATTGCTCCTTTGAAATCACTGTCCATTTGAAAACCAAAATATGAACTTCTTTGACTTCATAAAAGTTGAAAAACATAAAAAACAAAAACGATCAACTGGACTTCGTTTCCAAGTTTGAAGAGGTTTCGCTTCCCATTCAGGAAGCTTTTTCAATTCAAAATGGCAGAAATAGCATTAGGTTTGAGGCGTTATAGTGTGAACCAAAAACAAAGGCTTGTGGCTTAGAAAAAAATGCTAATTGAACCGGACGAATGGGTCACTGCGCCACCAAGGCACACCAAACCATTTTTATTTTCCTACAAACGTAAATCTGGATTCTGCAGTTTTTTTGAAAAGTAAGTTATAATCCATTTCCAAGGTTTATAAAAATCAGCTTGCAAAGGTACCGAACTGCTGTCCATTGCAAGGCTCAGCAGAACTGGGCTTTTCTTACCACAAACACTCCTCTCCGTGCAGCTCCAGCTTCACTGTTTTGTACTCGTTCACACACAGACTGATAATCATATGACTGCTTGCGTTTGTAGAAGGAGTTGTTGTAGAGGGCGTACATCAAGTTTGGGTCAACCACACCAAGAAATTTGCCCACCTGCAAGGTTAAAACACTTTGCTCAGTACTCTTTGTATATATAAAAATTCAAACAAATATTTCTAAAGAAAAATATATAATTTTTATATAAACCTCGCTCCAATCATCCTTCTGATTTGACATAATAAGGAAACCACCATCATCAATTAAATAGCACAGGAGATCCTGCAAAAAAGACAGAGGGCAATGCATCTTAAGAGGTTTTATAGCTGTGCACCAAAAACAATATTAAGACAGACAAAAGAAAGCAAATAATACTTTCATTTAAATCTGTCGAGTAAGTGGAAATACCTACATCACTATTAGCTTCGCAGTCCATCTCACAGCCCCTGTATGGTCCACACTGTTAAAGGTAGAAACAAACAGTTTATTGACAGGCTTAAAACTCTCACAATTTAACTTTACTTTAAATTCAACATTTTAAACATTCTCTTTTACCGTATTTGAACCTTGACGACTGTCTGTATGGTTGCTGGCAAGAATCTTGAATTTATCGGTCCAGGCTTCAAGATCCAACTTTACTCCAAGAACTGAGAAAACATAACAAAGTTAGCATACTCGTTAAGGAAGGGATAAAATACATAAAACGAGAAGCACACAGAGGGAAAACTAAGGCCGCTACAAAGCAGGCAAATTTCTATAAAAAATATTTACTGTCTTAAAAAATATTTATAATCCTTTGAACTTTTCTATATTAAATTAAAAATGAATTTTAAGACAGACTTGCAAGCAATAATCTGAAAATGAAAGCGCACAGGAACTGCAAACCCAGAGAAACAAGAGTGTCCATCTACACTGACAGGCCAGGCGAGGAGGGGATAAATCAGAAAATAAGCCAAAAAACTTTGGAGGAACTGCAGTGATCCACGATTCAGATAGAAGATTTTTACGACACAATACTTGTAAGCCATTTATTTCCCAAACCTGGTGGTTTATCAGTGATAGGCAAGAAGAAAGCCATTGTTAAATGAAAATTTATGTGTTCCAGTTATGTTTGACATTAGCAATTTAGAGGACTCATGTTTAGCAGTTACCGTTAAGCCATGCCTTGCAGCAATGGTAGGAGTGGGAGATATATTGAATATACTTGTATCTTAATTTTCACCACGCATAATAGTTCAAATGACTTTATCGCAACCATCGAATATAAATGTGCATGAAAACATTAAGCCATCTACATCAATTTCACAGAGAGTTTTAATTTTTCCACAGACTTTGAATGCATCATAAACCTCTCCACCAAACAGGATTATTTTCTGCACGGCACGTATGCTACAGCAACCGGCAAACAAATATGGCAACAGCAGACGTTTCAGCTAAGCTATATGTGGCGGTGGTTTGGATTTCATGCCGAGGATGTCGAACAAAAGGTGGTAATTTGTAATGCGTGCTGCAAAACCATTGCTGCTAAAGGAAGGAGTACACATTTATTCCACCACCTAAAAAGTCTTTCGCTGCAAAATGAGTGTAAACTTACACCAATTAAAAGGTTAATTAAATCAGCTGTGAAGTAGATGACTTTGGCCTTCTCGTTTGAAAAAGCAGTCACAAATGAGAGAAAAAGGAAGAGATGGAGGGAAATTGCAGAGGATATTTATTGCGTTATTTATGTGTTTTTTATATGCTCTAATACCTGTAATGTGATGTGGTCTTGTTCAGAGGCTTTGGAGGCATTCTCTAAACTTGGCAAAGTTCTCAATTTTACATCTTTTGTGATTCTTTAAAATTCCCAGCACGTAAAGATCAATGCAAATAGTTTTGAGTGTGTTTGGACAGTATTTCCACTTTTGTTTTTGTAATTTGAGGTCAATTTATCTTTTCATTCTGCAGTTTTTTTATTGTGCACAAAAGAGCCCTTTTTTATTTTAGTTTTTATTTACTATTGCATGTTTTTGCTTTGCTTCCTGGGATCTTGTTAAAGGTCTAATACTGACACTGAAAGACATAATGTGGCAGTATCATTAGTGAAAAGCTTTGAGCTGGTTAAAATAAAATTACTTTTAAAATAAATTTTAAATCACCGACATATTGGCATGTCAGTTTGAATAAGTATATCAGTGCAATTTTAGGAATACTGTTTTTGAAGGAAATCTAAACATATCGTGATATATTGTGTGTCGCGATTATAGCTCAAATATATCATGATATTAAATTTTCTTCATATCACCCAACCCTAAGCAATGGAATCACTGTTACCTTCTGAAACATTTTCACTAATATCTATGATTATATGGATAAAGTCTCCCTATTTACTCACCTGCAGGTTTGACTGTCTTCCCGCCTATTGTAATATCCAGAGCCGTGCTGACCAGGATTCCCACTGTGTCGTTTTCAGGGTTCAACAGATCGGCCCCGGCTGCATGAGAAAAACAAAGAGTCAAGAAACGCGATGTGTGTAAGGGGATGCTTCAAGCTTCATCTAAGCTACACAAAGAGATAATTTACCTGATCGATAAGGCGCTGTGAAGATGTAACCCTTGTTGTCAAGGCTGCGGCGGTAATAGCTAGCATTAAATGGCTCTGGGTCTTCCTCCCAGGTTTCTGCAGCTCTGAAATTTCAAACCAGAAGAAGTAGAGTAGCAAATATATGTAATACTGCCTTCTTCTTTACCCTTATGTAAGATCCTAACTTATTATCCAAAAATAGAACAGAGCGAGCAATGTACAATCTATAAAAAAAAAAAAAAAAAAAGAGTGCAGACTAGACACACAGCTGTGAGGATATCTGCTCTTACTTGTTTGGAAAGACTCGTGTTATTCCTCCATCTGTTGCAGCAAATACAGCCAGGAAGCCATATCTAAATGTCAGGATGGAGCAGAAAAGAACAAACACCCTCAGATCTAAATCATCCCCACTGGTGATATTTGAGAATAGACTTTCCTCACCGCAGCTTGATAATACTCACGTATTCAAATCTTTATTCTTCCACACTTTATCAACCAGCTGCCGGATGATGCCAGTATCCAAAATCAGATTGTGAAGAAGCAAACTTTCACCTGCAAGAAAAGGAAAGAAATTCATTTAATAAACCTACACTATGTAGAGTTGATTTTGGAGGGAAAGAAATGCTGCCAATTTTAAAATTCTGTATCTATTATTTATCTTGATATTATAGCCACACCAACAAAGATAAAAACCTAGGTACATGATTTTGTATACCTAAAAGGAATAGAGTTTGTTTCATTCTGTGTGCAACCAAAATAAATCCTTCACAAAAAAAAAAAAAAAAATACACTCAAAGCCACCCTAAACAATTTCAAAACCATGCCTCAAGAAGGAGACCACCCTCAACGGAAGACTAAAACATTTTAAGAAGTGCATCATTTATTATCTTACCGGTAATCAGATTAATGAATTAACATACAAGGTGCCAAACCAATTACAATACATAACTTTTTTACTTTAATTTATATGCAATCTCCCATTATTTGAATATGAGATTTTGCATGATCATTTTAATGTGCTGTCATCATAATTGCAGTTTTTTAAGTCTTTTTACAAAAAAGGGTAAAGTATATATAAAAAAAAAATGCTAAAGTTAATAAACAAGGCATTTCTGTTCTTACTTTTACTAGCAGTAGTATTATCAAACTATTTTAGTATCTGCCTTATCATGTTTTTTCCCCACTTTGGACATGGTTGCAATTTGAGTCACTATAATGCACATAATCATCTTGCTATATTGGAATATCTGTTTTATAGTGATGTGTGGCTATTAGACCTAGAGAAAAAGGTTTAGTTAAAAAAAACAACAACATCAAATCACAAAATTGGACTAGTCTCTAAAGAAACCCCTGGAGAGGGAAATTTTACTGCTGTGAAAAACGACAAGTAGTCCAACTGTTGCATTAGGAAAATGAGTGTATGTAACAGCCTGCCTTCTGTTTGTAGTGCACCGCACATGATGCATTCAGCCCATTATTTCAAGCTTTTATACCAACAGGGATCAATAAAGTGAAAAAACTTCACAACTTCTGTTTAATAAACTCAGATTTCTACTGCTGAAAAAAACATAGAAAAAAAACACTGGATCCACTGATTTTTTACAATTTTCTTTACACAAAAGAAATATTTCCTTCTTTTAAAAGGCTCTGAAAAAAAAGAAAAGCTGCACACCTACATAACCACCTACAGTAGTGAGAAATGTAAATCCCTTTATTGTCCGACATTGGACAAATTTACCTCTGCATTTAACCCATCCCCTTGGGGAGCAGTGGGCTGCCATTGAGTGGCGTCCCAGGGAGCAGTCTGGGGTTAAGGGTCTTGCTCAGGGACCCAGAGTGCAGGCTGTGAGGATCGAAGCAGCTACCTGCAACCTTCTCAAAGCACAAGTGGCTGCTCTAACCACTAGGCCAACACTCCCCATAGACATGATGTTAAATAACTTTAACATCATGATATATATCTTAATTTTGGTCAAAAGGATATAAATACCATAAACAAACAAAACAAACCAAAAAAACAGTAAAACAATCAAGAAAGGCTGCAATAGAATCATATACAAACTTCCACAAATATTTTCCCAAATCTATGAATATTCTCTTAAATACATTTTTGGAAATCATTATAAAAAAAATCTACAAGCTGAAGAAATGAAATGAACATTTGACCCGCTATTAATCCCTCCCTCCTCATATTTCTCAGTCCATGGCTTCTTGCTTCTTTCAGATTTTTTAGTGATTAACTTTAATATGTTCAGTAGGACAAACACACCTATGCCTGAAAGACTATGTTCCAAAATCAAAACACTGAGTTAGCAAAACAACTTAAAATGAACACTGAACATAGAGAAGACTAAAGGTTCCTAATTAATTCACAAAACTCAAACTTTTGATAAAACACTCAATGAGCTTGTAGACAGCACATGAAAATGAATCATTTTTATTTTAATCATCTTGTGAAGATTTCTCCACGTCTCTCTGTCATAGGTTCCTGCTGTAGTCCTGGCTTATGTTGTTCTGATTGTCAGCAAAACCTTGATTCATTTTGAAATTCTCGTCAAATTTACTTAATTACTTTTTAGATGGGTATCTTTATATTATATAGTCTGATGTTATTCTTTTGTCTAATTTGACTTTGTTTTTGTCTCTTCTTAACTTACTTTCTATGGGGGGTGGGAGGGTGGTGG